TGGAGCGCACGTTCTACATGGCGTGCACAGGTCGGGGGGCGGCTGCGTTGGACCCCCCAGCTGATGCGCGGCACCGCGGGAGCGATGGGGCTGAGCAGTGTCTGTCTGCGATAGACCCAACCGCGCGCCCGGCGCCTGGCGAGCGCTGGCAGCTGCTCCTCACCTCCCAGGGGGGCCGGGCTGTTGTCCCTCGGGATGAGGAAGAGCAAGGGAGTTACGTTCCCTGCTCTGGATGTGTCTTATCCACCTGTGTTGTATGGAAGAGGAGAGCAGGCACCTGTCGCTGCTGACAGACTAGAAACTCTCTGCATACTCCTATTCCATCACACTAACATGTTACGAGGGTGGAATCCCACTTCCCCAGCTCGCAGTAGCCAGGCTGCTGCCTCTTTCTTTCCTTCCTTTTGCTGTTTTCCAGCCTCCTGATCTTTCTTCTCTTGTGCAGCTGATATTATGGACCCCTACGTCCCGCCTGAGGGTGATGCCCGCCTGACTTCCCTATCCAAAGATGGGGTGAAGCAGAAGATGGAGAAGCTGAAGCAGACTGCTACCTCTCAGCTCGCGTGCGTGCCTCCTTTTCTAGTTAGCCTGTGGTGCAGGAGGTTTGCTTGGTTTTGTCTTGCAGTGGTGAGATGGTGGGGCTTTGTTTTCTACCCTCTTCTTCCATTCTTGCTGTTGTACCACTTCGCCAGGAGTCCCTGGTGTGAGAATGAACACAAAGCTCCTGTCCTGGTGGATGGGTATCATGTGCACTCATTTTCTGGAGGATCCTTTGGGTTTGCAGCCCTGTGTCTGTTTTACAAGCACCCAGAGGTTATGTCTTAGCGAGGAGTCTCCACTTCTCCCTGGTAGAAGCAGGGCTTGAACTGAATTAAGAGCATTGTCACCATCTGAAACATGCAAGGCAGTGCCAAGCTGTTCTTTCCTTACCCTAAAGCTTTTCTTGTCTTTTCAGTCTGCGGAAGATAAAAGATCATGAGCTGGATTTCAGCACTAAAACCTTCCCAGAGAAGGCACAGGAGATATATATTGAAGCTCACAATTGCCTTGCGAAGTAAGACCCCTTCTCTGACTGATGCAGTTAGGTAGAGCCTGCTGCTCCTTGCTCCTAGACTCTCCTTTTCCTCCTTGTCTTTCTAATCCCTGTACCTCCTCTGCAACAAGTTCTTTACCTTTTTCTGCCCCCATCTGTGTGAAGAGGAGAGTGTTGGGAATTTGGGCAAGACCCACTCATTTTGATAAGGAAAAGCAGGTTGCAGATAATTCCTCTTGCCCTGCCCTGAGCTGTTGCACCTCGAGTGTCACCAGCAGCTGAGTGGGTGCGTGTTCAGGATCACGCTGCAGGGAATTGTTGGGATATGAAGTGACGACGGATCCTGATTTTGTGCCGAGTTTGCAGCTGAGGATTTGCTTTTTCTGTTTTGCCAGAAGATTGTGTGTCTTCTGGGGAAGCAAGGAGCTGAGTAAGCCCCTTCACAGTGAGTGTATTCAAGTAACTGGGTGTGTTTCTCTTGCAGTTTTAACAAGCAGAAGCTTCACTCCCTGGTGACAGAGCGCTGCTACCCAGTAAGTGTTTCTGTGGCTGCAGCTTGTCCTTCATCTCTTCTATGCTCTTTAAGGCTCCAAACCTGAGCATCTGTCTCATTTTGTTCTGGATGCAGTAGAGGCAGAGCTGGAAGGGAATGCACAAGTCTGAGTAATAGCTAAGGAGTAAATGCTTCGTTGTATGTAGTAGTTTGCTTGTCATTTCAAACTTCAACAGGGGAGGTTCAGTTTAGACAGAAGGAAGAAATTCTTTACTGTGAGGGTGGTGAGACACTGGTACAGGCTGCCCAGCAAGTTGTGAATGAGCCACCCTGGCAGTGTTCAAGGCCAGGTTGGACACAGGGGCTTGGAGCAACATGCTCTAGTGGAAGGTGTCCCTGCCCGTTGCAGGGGTTGGAGCTGGAGGAGCTTTAAGCTCCCTCCAACCCAAACCAGGCTGGGATTCTGTGATTCAATTCCCATCCTAATTAAGTTGGTGCTCATTTTTCTCCCTCACAGGAGATGGTCCGTGGGAACAGATACAAAACCATCCGGTGGAGGTTTGTGGAGTCCCTGGAGCCCCCAAGGGTGGTTCATGTTCGAAGTGAGAGCATTGTGAATCGAGGCAACCTGTATGGCCAGGTGACGGTGCGGATGCACACGCGGCAGGTACGTCCCCTTGTGCTTCCCAACTGACTCCAACCTCCTGCCAGCCCCCACCTAACGTTTCTTGGCTCCTTTTACAGATTCTGGCCATCTATGACCGCTTTGGGAGGCTGATGTATGGAGGGGAGCAGGTCCCCAAGGATGTTTTGGAGTATGTTGTGTTTGAGAAGTACTTGGTGAACCCGTATGGCACGTGGAGGATGCATGGCAAGATCGTTCCAGAGTGGGCTCCTCCAAAGGACCCCATTGTGAAGGTAATGCCACCAGGAAAAGGCACCAGCCTGGTCCCTGGTTAATTCTGGACAACACCAAAGCTGAGCTCCCTGTAACAGGAAGGTGGTGGATTAATCTGCAAGCAGACCTGTTTATTAATGTGGCATTGGCAATCTCTAGCACCTGGAAGCTGTAATAGGAGGCTGAGGGCATTTGTCATGTATGTGATAGTTTAGGGGGGTGCTGCTCCCTGCACACAACCTGGTGAAGCCCATGCAGGTGCTCTGTCTTCCTGTCTTAACTAAAAACAGGTCCTAGAGGGGAAGCAGAACTATCCTGTGGTGGAATACGTATCATCCCATTCCCCCTCTGTGTCTTTCACCACGCTGCTGCTGCCATCAGGTCATCTGCTGTGTGTGAGGCCCTTCCATTGCCAGAACCTGCTGCTCACCCCTTCTCATGCTCTGTAACATGAGGGATTCCAGCTGCAGCAGTTGGGAGCTGCTCTGTGTCATGCTGATTTTGCTCCTTGCTTTTGCAGACGGTGCTGATTCCTGGCCCAACCTTGGATCCCTCACAAGAGTATGAAGAAATGAAGTAGGAAGTTCCAGAGCCTGTACAGAGACAGCCTGTGCAAGCAGCCCTGGGGGGAAGAAGTGGAGAATGGCTGTGGAGGTAGTGGCTTGATATGGCTGTGCCTTTCCAGTGAGCAGTCGGCAAACAAAGCAGCTTCGGAAATGGACTCTGGTCACTAAGAATTTGTCTTTAAAGGAACAGGAGAAGCTTGGCAGCGGGGTTCAGATGCGCTCTGAGAAGAGCTTTACTCCATCCAGGTAGACTTAATGTGCTGCAGTTTAACCCTCTCTGTGTTTCTGTGAAGACAAGAAGTCTGTTCTCTCCAGGAGTGCTCTCGAGGCTCACCCTGTCCTGAACTTGCACTGTGAGAGGAGCCCTTGGCAGCAGCAGTCTGCTCAGCCATGGGATGGCTGCCTCTGCCAGGGGAAGTGTCAGAGACCTGCTGGCCTTTCATTAAAGCTTGCAGGAGGTGTCAGCCCTTTCTTTCCCCATCCTCTCTGTGCTGGTTCCCAGACTTCAACAGAAAACAGGGAAGAGCTGCAAGCACACCTTAAATCACGTTCTCTTGGGTGGGTGCTGCAGTTGGACTCGTGCTGACTGGGTGCTTGTGAAGGGCCCAGCTTCCCAGAGGGGCTGCAGCACAGCACTGGTGACTTAATACAATCTTTTGGCTTCTTGAAAGAGCATTTCTCTTGGCTGATGGGTTTTGGTGCACTAGTTAGAGATGCTCCTGAATTCAACAGTGGGGTGGGGTGAGTGAGTGGCTGGCACCATCCTGTGGACCTGATGACATTCACTTCAGGGCCCTGGTTTTGCAGGCTCTGTGGGCTGGGAAAATATGTGCCCACAGGTTGCCATTTTCCATGGCTGGGAGTCTGCTGATGAGTTCTTGCTCTGCTTTGCTCAGGTAAATTCCATTTACTTCTAGTCACAGAGCAAAATACTGACTAGTCATCAGGTAACAAAGCATTTTCCAGAGCTGCTGAGTTAAGTGCATTGTTTCCTTCTTCCTTGAAAGAGATTTTGCAGACTGTGCTGTTTGAGAGAGTGGTGGCTCCTGATGCTTGCAGAGTTGTTCAGTGTTTCTGTGTTCTTTCGGAAGGGCAGAATATCATCTTTATGCTCTGGTAGGAGAGGAGCCAGCAATGGAATCCCTTTCATCTTCTTGGGAAGCCAGAGGGGTGTCACAATCTGTCTGCCTTTCCTGAAAGAACCTACTATATTGAGCCCTCTGCCTACACTTCATTCATGAGCTGAGGAGAGTCTCAGTGCTCCAGCAGATGGGAGCAGGGCTGGGAGCTAAAATAAACCTGGGTGAGCTGCCTGGTTGGTGTCTGGGCAGCTCACGAGCAGGTTTGGACTTGGCTCCTCAACCAAGACCTACAAACCAGGTTCTCCAGCTCTGGCTCTGAAGGAGAAAGAGTGAGTTTTCTGGTGGAGTAGCTGGTTTTGTCCAGGGAGAAAGGCCTTTCCTTCCAGTCTAGCACTGTGGGGCTCCCCATCAGCTTTGCCAGCAGTCAAACCTCTGCACCTCACCCACTTGTGTTTCTGGGTTTCCTTTGCAGCCTCGCTGCTTTCTGCTGTACCTCTTTCTTGAGCATATTTCGTATCTTGCCCACACCCCATAAACCAGCCACTAAGTGTGTGCTCTGTAAAGAACGTGGTTTATTTTCTGTACATACACTCAGACCATCAGCTGATCGTGGAACACTCGGTGCTGAAGGCCACAGACAGCACGTGATACCAACCCCCCTCTCTAAGGAGAGTGGAACCAAACGACAAAGGAACAGCAGGACAAGCCCTGAGCCATGTGTGGATTCAGAGGGAGAACCAAAACCTTCCCTTCTGCTGTCTCCTCCTTTTTTTGCTTCCATCCGAGCCCCCATCAGAGAGCTGGAGCACCTCTCCTATGGAGACAGGCTCTTTATCCCTGGCTGCAGACCCTGCCTGGTCCTAGCAGTGCTAACAGAAACCCCCCTGGCTCCAAATGGAGGTGCCAGCAGTGCTGGGGCAATGGGCTGGGCTGCAGGAGCTGGGGGAAGCTGGTTTCCTCCCCTGCTGCATCATCTTCCTGCCCTGGTTTGACTCTTCCTTACATGTTTTAACATATTCAGGTGCCTGCTTGGAGCAAGGGGACCCTGCGCTGGGCCACCATCCTGTGGGCAAATGATGGGTGGTGTTTGCACCCATCTGGAGAGCTTGATGAAGGCAGGAGGTGTTAATTGTCCCCTTACTGTGCTGGTCCCCAAGTCTGGCTGGCTGATGGCCACCACCAGTCTGTTGGGAGCACAGCCATGCCATTGGCTTTGGTGGACACTTCTGTCCCCGCTTGGGCTGTGCCATTAGACATCAGCCTTCAGCTCTAGGCTTTCTGTTCATGAAAACCATGTCTGCACCCGGCTGGTGGCCCCGGCCAGAGGGAGCTACTCATGGTCCCAAGGGCAGACATCAGCTTTGGTTCCACCCCGGGTGGCATCTGCACTCTCCACCTCCCATGGACACACCTCCGAGGTTTTCCTCATGTCTGTGCTGGTCCTCTCGGATGCTGGTGGAGCCTCTTCTGCTTCCCAGGGACAAACCTCAGCTGGGCTGGGGCTGCTGCCTGCCCCAGGGGCTGTACCCACTCCCCAAGGCAGCAGCTCTGCCCTGGGGCCCTGTGGGGGCTTGTGCTTGGCCTCAGGCCTGCCCTTGGGTTTGTTCTGCAGGTCTGCTGGAGATGTGGCTCTGGCTCCGGACACCGGCTTTGCCTCTCCCATCCCCGAGGAGGATGCCCCATCAGCTCCCTGTGGGCTTTCCTTCTCTGAGCCATTGGGCTCTGCTGCTTCCCAGGGGCAAACCTCAGCTTTCCTGCTCTCTGACTTCTTGGATGGCCCTTTCCCTGTTGCAGTTGGCAGGGATTGCTCCTCCATGGCCAGGCTCTCCCAGGGGCAGGTGGCCTCGCACTTGCTGCTCCCCTTCTCCCATGGTTTGCAGGTACCTGCTGCTTCTCGTGGGAGGCTCTTATCTGGGGCTGCAGCCACCTCCCAGGGGCAGATCTCTGCTTTATCCATGGATTGAGCCCCTGGAGCCTCCCAGGGACACACCTCTGCCTTCAGGCTCTCCACACTTGCTTTCTCCTCTGTGGGTGTGCTGGGCCCAGTCTCTCTGCAGACACCTTCACTTGTAGAGGGGCTTCTGCTCCGTATGGACAAACCATCCTTGTCCTGTCTTGATTCCTCTTTACCTGATGGGGCTGCAGCCACCTCCCAGGGGCAGATCTCTGCTTTATCCATGGGTT